TATTTCAATATTTATATTCAATTAATTTATCCTCAAGTGCAAAGAAGATTTAGATAAATAATGATTAGTAATAACAGATTAAAGACGCGTGGTTTTGTAATAATGACAAAAATATCCTACTCAAAAAATATAATTTTCATAAAAATTATTATAAAATACAAGTAAAACATTAATTTTAAATTATTTTTGTGCTTGTATCACCATTGCAGGAAATTGTATAACTATCAAGTAATAATCGAGCATATTTAAATGGTTTTTCATAATTTATGTTTATTATTTCATATAGATAACATGTCATACTATATACATATTTATTTATGAGTAATGGATTAGTTGGACATTTATGAATTTATGATCTGTATACGTGATAACTTTTTAGAGTGTTGATATAAGCAACGTTATCCTAGGTATTATTTGTATGATGGTATACAAAACATATTGCATTATGCAATTTTATGAAAATCCGTGTATCATATATTTGTTTTTAATCCAAAATGCCATAATACCTACGTATTTTAACATTTGAATATTTCACCTAAAGTTAATAATGATGAAAAATTTTATAAAGATTTTTTGGCAGAATAATGTTAAGTATAAGGTTAAATTATTGATCATGAATCATGGATGTTTTTGGTATAATTACTCTGTTTAAGTACAGAGGAATGTGTAAGATGAGAAAAATCTCAACTTTAATAACGACCATAATATATTTATTATTTATATATATATATATATAAGACGGAATATAGTATGGCATCAAATAGAATTTGACTGACCTGAGTCAATGTGGTTATCGGCATGGCGAATTGTAGATGTGCTATTGAAATAAACTTCCAATGTGATGTTGGTTGATGAAACGAGAGTGTGCGCAGCAACTGCAGCGAGCAACACTACTGCGGTGGGCGATGAGTTGAGTCTGCAAAACATCATCACAAAATCGTTCAGTACGATTAACCGATTAAGTTAACTAATGTAAGCGTCAACTATCGACTGCAATCTCGCTGCAGTGACAATATTTTTATTTTTATACGAATTGTATCATCATCATAATATGATATACACACTGCACGGTGCACGTAGCCGATAAGTCATATTCGCCACAAGTGATGTAGGTATATGGTATTTTTGGTGACGACAGGAAAGAGGTATATTTTTAATTAAAATATAAATTTAAAGGTTAAGCCAATTATTCCCAAATACCTTATAATATTACTGATTGGAAAGAGGTATATTTTTAATTGAAAATATTATCAATAATAATTTTAAAGTACGTGGGATTATTGTATTAACTATTATTAAAAATTACCTACTATAAACTATAATAATAATATGTTAACATGGTTTATGTGTATTTATATTAAAGTTACAAACAAAGTATGATTCCAAGTCTGCATACATCTTCTTATTATGATTAATCTGGAAATCGAATACATGCTATGATAAGAACAAAATTTAAAATATAACTATATAAATTAACAAAACAAAAAATAAAAAGCTTGTCAAATGGGTACCACTTTGCTGTGCATTAGGTGTCGTGTGTAGTGCAATTCATCTATACCTGGGAGACGGGGGCTATTATGTTTCAGCTTCACACATATTATATTCCAAAAATGTTGCATGAAAAACATTGACGGGGGCTATAGCTCCCTTAGGCCTCCTTATTCTACGGTTATGGTGTGAATGTGGCTTTGAATTCAATGATTTAAAATCATTGTATACGATAAACAATTTTTAGCGAAGACAGTCAATCTATATTAGTAAATATATTTTATGAACTAATTGCTAATACAATAATTTATTTTACTTTAATCAATACACCAAAAACAGTAAGTCGAGTTGTTAAATTACTAAAAATATTGTGTTTTAAAATACCCTTGTGTGTATAAAACATAATAATACACTTTAAGAATTTCAAGTACCCGCGAATAATATTAAATTTTTAAATTACAACAATTTGTTATTTTCCAAGAAATAAATAGTCAATTATTACTAACTAATTAGATAACAAATTATGATTTTAGGTATACATGATGAAGTAACTATTAACATAAACTAAAAATATTAAGTGATATGTCATATGTGCAAGAATCAAGAACAAGACACTGTACAAGACTTTACTTCTGTATACTAATGTCTAATATAATCTCTAAAATAGAGTATAACCAACTCTATAGTTAATAGTAAATATTCTATGTCTCTTTTTATAGAAAAGTATCTTTTAATCTACATTTTGAACCGATAACAAAGAGCAAAAGTAAATTCGACATCTGTAGATTATCTAATGTAATATAAAGTATAATTTAAACTTTTAACCAAATTTATATAAAAATAAAATATACTTTGTAAACGTAAAATCAGTCAAAATCAACACAACTCTTATGGTTATTAATGATCGTGTGTACTTATAATATTTACATAATTGCACTTGGTTAAATGTTAAAACCCCAAGATATTTCGGTTATGCAACACATTTTACATGAATGTACTATTTTTCCAACAAACCTTCAACACTAGAAATAAAAAATCCAAGCAAGCATTGCAAATATTCTTCGATGAAACTTCATATCAACAATTTGAAAAACGCTTACTATAATTTAATAATTATAGTAAGCGTTTTTCGAATTATGAAACATTTATCTGTTTACYGAGGAGATCTTTTTCATAAAAAATAATGACCACGGCATTCATAAGATCGAACAAAAAACTGAAAGTACTTACAGTAAATTTTTAGTTTGTAGACAAAAAATAAAAGTCATAATGTTTTAATTTCTGATGATAAAAATAAATAGACAGCTCAACTGACAAATAAATGAAACAAACCATTTTTATAGAATTAAATAGTAATAAGTAATGTTATTATTATCATTATTATTATAGAAATAGAAATAAATACTTTAGAGTACTTAAGTAAAAATTTAGATTTTTTCTCGTGATTTTTATAAAAGATTCCTAATGCTTTTTATTCATTCGGGGAGTATAATTTTTAATTATTTATTTATTTGTTGTTACAAATTAAAGAACAAACATTTTATGTTAAAAATAGTTTTGATTAATACTTTTAATTCTTAACGAAGCACATAACACAAAAAAAATTCTTTTAAATGATTTGGTGAAAATCCAATGTAAACAAATGTTTACTTTAAGAGATATTTAGAAATCTAATGTGACGTCATCGGGCCCTACTCGCCGTTTAGTTGTTTCAAATATTAAAAATCTTAAAAGAAACATTTAATATTTGAAAAACTAAACTTCTTATTGAAATTCTGACACTTGCATTGTCAAAAAACTTATTTGTGTTGTGTGCTCCTCTAAGACTATTATTATTGCTCAACTATGTCGATGTAATCGAAATTGAATAAACAATGTACCGAAACCTAAATATATAAATAGGTATACAATGTAAAATGTTAATCATTCACATTTACAAGCACAAAACTTTAGCTTTGAAACATATGCAAAAATAAATACCTGAGGACTATTATTAGGGCTTGGAAGTTGATCTTTAAAATTGACTTAAAATAACTAAAAATGCCTTTAATAAATGGCTTAAGATTGATTTGTAATGAAAAAAAAATAGCTTTATTAAATAAAAAATGTAAAAAATGACTATTAAGAATCATTTTTTTTATTTTTTAACCACTAGGCAGTCGAGCAATTTAATGTATACATGTTTAAGCCCAATGGTCTATGTTGTCGAGGGTATACGTACAATTAAAAAAAAAAAAACTAATGACAATATTGCCAAAAAATATTTAAGGTAGATAAATAAAATGTATAACTAATTAAATAATTATTATATTGAACAATAAGTGTATACTGTTTAATATTTTCAAAATCGAACGAGTGGTGTTTATCAGAAGGCAAATGTTTATACCTTAAGAAGTTCCTTTCTACACAGTTAGTAGTTACCGTATAGTAAAATCAATCGTGTGCCTATTACGTTCATACTGAATTATTATATGAATATTAGATAATCTGTATAGACGGCAGCGTGGCGACTGGCCGTGCACAATTGTCTACCTGCGACAAGACAAGTAATATTTTAGTTGATAATTAATAATTATTTTCCATTTGCTTACGTAACCAATGTTYAAAAATTACATTATAATAAAATAGGTAAAAATAAAATATCAGAAAAAATTATTTAAAATGTAGAAAACATTACGACAATAATTACAACAATGAAAAAAAGGGCCACAACATTTAGAAAAATGCAAAATAAAAATTAGTTATGTATTTTCACATGCTATTAAAACATATTTTTAGCTAAGAAACCTTTGTCTAAGAAATTCCAAAAAAAAAAAATATACAAATTCATCAACTTCCGAGCCCTGATTATTGCTATTATCCTAAGGTCAAACTGAAATATTGTTTGAGCTAAAACTTGGCTCCAAAATATATAATACAATAAACAATGAAACAATTATTATACAATACATTTAAATATCCAAGACACAAGTTTGTAATTGCGTAATTTGTCAGTTTTATACAATTATCAAATTTGACAAATCACTCGGTAATCTTTAAACATATATAAATAAAATAAAAATTACATCATAAAAATTCTGCAAGCAAGTTTCAAATAAATTGAGAAATAATATGATGTTTAATATTAATATTTGATAAATTAGGTATGTATTTATAAATATAGTGTGATGCAATAGTTTAGTGTAAGCGATTTCATAATAACATTTTTATTTTTGTAATATGTTTGAATACCCATTGTTATTTAATTTATATTTCTCACACTATTTCCATATCATTTAAGTTGAATAATTGTAATGATAAAATATATCTATAAATTATAATGAAATATCCAGTTTTGAATAAGAACACGAAAAATCCATGAATAATCGACAATGATAAAATTAGATGTTATCTATGTTATCTTAGACTAAATTAGAAAATCATACTTAATTATATTTTCTATTAACATGATATAATATTGATAATTTCTTGGATAACCTCTAGATCTGTTTCTACGATAATGTATTGTTCATTGGCTATAATAGCGTTGAGAATTATGAAGAAGTACCTATATAATGAGGCTGAATAGTTATTAAAAATATACGATACACATAATATTATAATATTAAATTAAAACTCGCCAAAGTAATAGTTATCATTTTTTCGGGGTATAAAAATTTCAAATAATTTCAACATGATATTTTAAGTGAATAGGAAAAAAGGTAATAGTTTCAAGTTTGTAACGCAATCGAGTTATGTATTTAAAAATAAATAAAAACCATGTGACACACTGACATTTATTTTGAGTAGTGAGTACTTAACTCTGAACTCTGAACTCATTAGTCATTACTCATTACTCTTGTTAATCATAGTTGAATGATGGTTATACTATCACATTATAGTTGTTTGGAAAAAATCCATGACATTCATAATGATTGATGAACTTACAATTACAATTAAAAATATTTTTTTGATAGATATTTGATCGAATTAAATATCATGGATGATAAACATACTTTAAGAACTTTCAAAGTTCGATCATGTGAGCCGTCTATTAAGTAGTAAGATGATACGAAGAGAAAGATAAAGTTTTACACAAATCCGTGAAAATTAGAAACTATCTCATGTAGTCATGTTCAATGTTCAATGTTCAATGTATAGGCTGTAAACGATAGGTATAATACATTCATGATGAAATACGCAGTATGTTACCTATACAAATTCAATTTATAAGAATAATGTAAAAATGTATGCCTTTAAAATTTTAACGAAATACATTATTTATTTTTTTTTATTGATTTTTACATTTATAAGTACCCCTCAACTGTTAAGATTATCAGTTGGTGTGTTTAAATAAACATTACATTTATTGAAGTCTTATACAAAATATTTTAAATGATAATATGTTACTTGGATGGTTAGTTATTATAGTCATATGTAGCAGTGGCGTAATTAGGAATTGTGGTTTGGGAGGGATCATATATTTTTAGCGAAATCTTACAAGCCTCATACAGTAATCTACCCTGTCAAATATAAAATGTTAGCAGTAAAATAAAAGTTTTGGGG